CGTACAGACTCTGTCGTGTTTAAAAAAAAAAAAAAAATTACAAATTAGTGGCATTAAACGGTGTGTGTGTGTGTGTGAAAATCTGTTTACGGTTATTTTTTTTACTTAAAATTTGAAAAATTATTATTATTATTATTAATTTTTATAAATCATTCGTTTGAGAGTACTCGTACTCACGTAGGTTATTCCGTGCGCTTACGTCAATCGTTAAAAATTTTTTAAATATTTATTTTAAATATTACCGTTAACGGTAAAAAAAAAAAAAATTCGTGGCGACACTTAATAATGATGATTAATTTTTAATTTAAAAAAAATTTCGAATTTATTATCATTATTATTATTATTATTTTGTCGATGACGGTTGATTTATTTCCTTTAATTGAATCGATTCAAAGGAATACTAAGGACGAACGAAAAAAAAAGGAATTTTTTTTTTTTTTTTTTTTTTAAATCGAAATAGGCCGTTTCGAATTGTTGCGTAAATGTCGAATTAATTAATTATGACACTAAATTTAATTTTAATCAAATTTAAACTCGATAATTTTTAGGTATTTTATAATTGTAATGTTGGCAATTACTTTTTCACGCGATCATTTAATTGATACGATAAACAACGGATTTGGGTTTGGGGGCAGAGGGGAAGTGGGCGGGCGTGGGATGGGAACGGGGGGGAGAGCAACGAGACGAAATTATTGTTTTTTAATTACTCGCCAAAGTCAAATATATATATATATATATATATATATATGTATTCAGGCATGTTTTAACTCTTACGAGTTCTAGCAGAATGTTTTTTTTTTTAAACGATAAATAGGTCGATACTTAAAAAAAGGAAAACGGTTGAAGGAATTTGAATTTTTATTACTACCCCTTACTCCCACCCTCATTCACTCACCCCCCGCCCCCTCCCGTCCCTCCTCTCCCGATAAGAGACAACGTGAACCGTAATCGTCGTCGTATTTTTTTTTTTTTTTTTTTTTTTCATTTTATTTTTATATACTTAATTGCTTTTGATATTAATTGAGTACTTATTTTGAATTTTATTTAATAAAAATTATCATCATCATCATCATTATCATTATTATTATTATTAAATAAACATTTTTTATTATCATTATCGTTATTATTATTATTATTATTATGAGAAGGAAAAAAAAGAAAAAAAGAAGAAAAAAAAAAGAAAATGTCGGCCGTATTTTGTTATTTAAAAGTTTTTCTTTCTCTCTCTCTCTCTCTCTCTCTCTCTCTCTCTCTCGTCTTTCTTGTTCCATAATGGAAACTTTCAATTTAAAAAAAAAAAAAAAGGAAATAAATATTTTTTAACGATTCTTTTTATTATTTAAAATTTTCTTTTTTTTTTTTTTTTTTTTTTTTTATTGCCTTTCGGTTGTATAATATTATAATAATAATAATAAAATTTTTATTATCATTATCATTAAAATAAATAAAGTTTAATTTTTATCGATTAGGCATCGATTAATATTAATATTAATATTTATAATAATTATTATTATTTTAATTTTTTTTTTTTTCTTCTTTTTCTTCTTCTTCTGCCACGACACGAGTTGATTAGATTTTAAAAAATTTATTTTTTATAATGGAAGAGAATTTTTAAAATAAAAAAAACAAACTGAAATAGGGAAACAAATAATGATGATTGACAGGTATTTTAACTTTAATTATTATTAATTTTTGTTGTTGTTGTTGTTGTTGTTGTTGCTGTTGCTGTTGCTGTTTTTCATTCTCGTGTAATAAAAAAAAAAAAAATTAAAAATTTAGAAAGAGAGAGAGAAAAGAAAAAAAAAAAGTTTTTAAATAATTAAGTTAAAAATAAAACTCGCGATGCGATTCGTTCGTTGTTTACGATTATTATTATTATTATTATTATTATTATTGTTGTTGTTGTTGTTGCTGTTGTTTTTTCGTTAAATATGGAACAACAAACGTGGGTTGTTTTCGGTTGTTTTATTTTAAATAATTACGAGAGAATTTGGTCATGTTTGTTTGTTTTCTTTTGATTTTTATTATTATTATTATTATGTTTAAATTCAATTATTATTATTATTATTATTATTATTTTTTCACGTACGTGCGTGAGAGTAATCGTATCTTAAAATGAATTGCGTTTCACGATAGAAAATGGTTACCTTGACAAATAAGCGTTTAAAAATGAAAAACTCACGGTACCTCGAATTTTTTTCCAATGACTTGTTTGCATTGATTTCAATGAAATGAAAAAAGTGAAAGAGGAAGAGAGAAAGAGAGAGAGAGAGAGAGACAGACAGGCAGAGAGAGAGAGAGAAAGAGAGACAGACAGACAGAGAGAGAGAGAGAGAAAAAACCTTTATTTTCACGGTTGTGAAAGAGAAAAGACAACGATGCAGGTTCACGATTGTTTCCTGTTTACAAAACAAAAATGGCGACAAAATAAATGTAACGTTTTTTTTTTCCTTTAAAAGTTTTTTTTTTAAATTATGTTTTGGACAATTTATTTGCAACGTTTTTACTTTTTTTTGCCTTCCTGCCTTCCGTCCTTCCTCCTTTCCTTCCTTTCTTTCCCTCTTTTCCCCCTTTTTTATTTCCCACTCATTTATTAGAGTTATTTGTTAATTATTATTATTATTATTATTATTATTATTATTATTATTTGTTTTAAATGCAGAGTTTTATTTCCATTAATAAATTTCAGTAAGAAAAACAAAAGAGAGAAATACTAACATATTTTCAAAATTAAAGCAAATTACTCCCTAAGGAAACCAAAGTTACCCTTTGGAATTTGAAGACGGACTAATGAGAGAGAATTCGCAAAAGGGTGGAAAAACCGAAGGAAGGATTTCACGGGAAAAAGGAGTGAATGAGGTAGCGGGCGGGCGGGGGGGGGAGAAAAGGGGAAAGGAAGGAGAGGGTGAACGGGCGGGAGGAGAAGGGAAGCAGAGAGCGGCGGATGAAGAGTGAAAAAAGATGGGATCGTTTCGGGATCGTAAGGGGTAAGGGGTGGGGGTAGAAAAGGGAATAAGTGAATGAATGGGAAAAGAGACAGAATTTACAAAGCCAATTTCCACTTATTTATCTTCCTGTCAGTCTTAATGTTACAATAAAATTTATAATTTAACTCGGAGTTGAAACTGAATTGAATTAGCCCGGCCCAGACCTGGTTCGGTTGTTTGCTTTCGGCCCGAGAAACAACACACGTGAGGTAAACAATGAGAGAGAAAGAGAGAGAGAGAGGAGAGTAAGAAATGTTCTTTTTCTTAATATTCAAAACACCCCCCCCGCACGACACCCCCCCATCCCATCTTTCCCTCCCCTCCCCCCGTTTATTACTTTCTATTCTTTTTTACCACACCTTACCATTTCTCATTTGTTGTCCCTCTTTGTCTTCCTCATTACATTATTTCAAATTTCCCCTCATTTATTTGTCAAATTATTATTATTATTATTATTATTATTATTATTATTATTATTATTATTATTATTATTATTATTACTGTTCCGTTATCAGATAAGAAGTTTATCATTAAATCTTTTGTTTTGCTTTCCCATTGCGGTATTTATTTGCTTATTTGTTTTAACACGTTTTTCAAATAATAAGAAAAAGAGCTTTTCCTTTATCATCATCATCATCATCATCATTATTATTATTATTATTAAAGCAAATATGAATAGGAATGACTGAATATTGACTCACCGTAGAAATTCTCACAAATTTTTATTTTTTTATTATTTTTACCTTTTACTGACGTTGACGTGTTTTCTCTTCTACGATTTGATTGCGTTATCAGGTTTTGTAATAATTCGCTCAAATACATAGTTTCTCTCTCTCTCTCTCTCTCTCACCTTTTTAAACTCCTACTCTATGCTCTCCTGCTCTCTCCTCCTCTCTCCTCCTCTCTCCTCCTCTCTCCCCTCCCCCACTCTCACATCTTTAACGTGTTTTAAATGAATGTATGCATTTCGATGCGTTTGTTAAAATTTATTTTTTGACTCGCAAAAAAAAAAAAGAAATAAATTTAAATAAAATAAGTCGGCTGTCGAAAATTGTTTATTACGTACAAATTATCAATTAAAAACAATTTTTAATTAATTTATTATCATTATTATCAGTATCATTATTATCATTATTATCATTTTTTCTTTCATTGATTTTTGTATTCGAACGCTTTCAATTAATCCGACATACGCTATTGCTCCGGTTCCCAATTTTTTTTTTTTTTCAAATTTCAAAGCATCTTCTGCTTTTTTTCCTTCTCTCTCTCTCTCTCTCTCTCTCTTTCCCTCCGCGTATTTTATTTTAGCAATGTTATCAATGATGGTTTTTACATTTGTTATTTCTTTCACGTGAATTTTTTTAATTCTTTATTATTATTATCATCATTATTATTATTATTATTATTTATCGAAATCCTTATGATGCGTGTTTAATCGAGTAAAAAAAAAATTATTTATTTATTTATTTAATAATAACGTTTTCAAATTTTTTTTTTTTTTAATCTTAAAACGGATTAAGTTATTATCATTATTATTATCATTATTATTATTTAAAAAGAAAATTACGTAGAAAATAATAATAATAATAATAATAATAATAATAATAATAATAATAATAATAATATTTTTAATTATTTCGTTTTTTATAATAATTTTTTAACGAAGAGAAAAAGGGGGAAATTTTTTTTTTTTTTTTTTTTTTTTTCATTTCGAAATTTCGAATATTGAAATTTTCTAATGCCACGAAAGAAAAAAATAAATAAATAAATAAATTTATTATTTTCGATTTTCATTTCAGAGTATTAAAAAAGTATTTAATATTTTATTATTATTATTATTATTATTTTGTAATTTAAAAAAATAAGATTTGTGATTTAAAAAAAACAAAAACATTATTTATTTATTTATTTAAATTATTATTATTATTAGTATTATTGTTGCTGTTGTTGTTTGTTGTTGTTGTTGTTGTTTTTGTTCTATTGTAAGTGAATAAAGAGACAAAAAAAGTAAAAATGGATGAAGAAGTTATGTGGAAAACATTATACGAAAAAATACAACAAGAAAAATTACAAGAAAGAGCTGAAACAGAACACGAAATAAGGTACGGAACAAAAAAAAATAATAATAATAATTTTCATTTATTTTTATTTTTATTGATGACGCACTTCCGGTTTTTTTTAAAATTCGAATAAATTAAAAATTTGTGAAGATGTCGGAAGATGGGTGGGGGGCTCTGAAGAATTTGCAAAGAAATTTTTTTTTTATTTATCATTGGAAAAAGGTTTTTTTTTTTCATCAAAAATCTGTGATGATAATGATAATAATAATATCGATGACGACGACGATGACGACGAAGATGACGTCGACGACGACGATGACGATGATGATGATGATGATTTGTCGCATTTCTCATAAATTCCTTTCGTTGTAAAAAAAAAAAAAAAAAAAAGAAAAAAAAAATCGACATTCGTTTATTTACTTATTTATTTATTTATTTTTTTTTTTTTAGGACAACAGAAAAAAAAAATGATAAAAGCAGAAGAAATTTATTTATTTATTTTTTGTTTTTTTTTGTTTTTTTTTTTTTTTTATATTTCAAAAGCTTGATGAAAATGTTTAAACATAGTTAAAATGAAATGGAAAGAAAGAAAAAGGAAAAAATCTCTCGGAAAATTCAGTTTTTTTTTTTTTTTTTTGGGAGAGGGCGGAGGGGTATGGAAGGGTATGAGTACGGCGGCGGCGGGGGGAGGGAAGTGGGAAGTGGGGAGCGGGGAGGGGAACCGAGGAAGTAAGAAAAAAAAAATGGAAAAAACAACTGATATTTTAAATTTTCTTTGATTCAACAAGTAAATATTTACTTTTTTCTTGTCTTCTTCTAAATTATTTTGCGAAAATTTAAATTTATATATTTGATTTTAATTACATCTTTTTTTTATTTCATTTTAAAAAGTCTTTGTAAATGAAAAGTTGAAATGTTTCCCGAAAAAAAAAAGAATTTTCCGAGAGAGCGAAAAAAGAAAAATTATTTATTTATTTGTTTTTATTTCAAAAAAATTTTTGTTGATTTTATTTTTTATTTTTTACGTTTAATTTACTTAATGATAAATTGTATCTCTCTCTTTATCTCTATCTCTCTCTCTCTCTCTTTCTCTGCAGAATACAAGAATTGGACAATGGATTTTTCGAAAAATTCGGAACGGAACTTTTACACAAGGAACAAGCAAAAGTATCTCAATCTGGTATTACTACTACCAGTACCGGACAACCTTTGGATGGTGACAGCGGCGTCGGCGAAGAAATAACGACGATTCCTTCATTATCATCATCATCATCATCATCGGATGAAGATGATTCTGATGAATCAGATCGGGAAGAGACAAATAAAGAATCATTCATTAGCGATGCGTTCGGATGGAACGTAAGTTATTTGAAATTATTTACGTCAAATTAATAACAATTTATGCTCGTGTGGATCAAAGTGATTCTTAATACCATTATTATTATTATTATTATTATTATTATTTGCCGTTTGCTATTTATGACAGTCGTATGGTTTTATAACGACGACGTCTTTCTATCCCCCTACCCTCTCCCCTCTCTCCCCCTCTCTCACTGTTCTTTTCATCATTATATTCGGATTTACTTTGAAATATTCAAGTTAAACGGAAATAAACGAATTTGTTTTTCTCTCTCTCTCTCTCTCTCGTTTCACCACATTAAAGGTGAGTTAATTAAAAAGAAAAAATAATAATAATAATAATAATAATAATAATAATAACGTTTCACACGGCATTAATAATAATAATAATAATAATAATAATAATAATTTTCCACCAAGTGTCACCATTTTTTTTTTTTTTCCCACCGCGGAGTCATTTGCGATGATACACACACATCTCGCACGTATATTTTATAATTTTTTTTTTTTTTTTTAAATAATAAATATCATTTTGGGGTTTTACGAAAAAAAAGGAAAAAAGGAAAAAAAAGGAAAATTTTTGTGCTTGACAATAGATAGCAAAAGATGAAAAAAAAAAAAAAAAATTTAAATAGAAAAACGTTGTATTGAATTTATATACGATTAATGTGAAAAATAAGAGATGGATGTTAAAATTTATTATTATTATTATTTATGAGAATGATGATGATGATGATGATGATGACGATGATGACGTAGAATAAAATTGTTGTTGTTGTTGTTGTTGTTGCACGGGTTAAGAAAAAAAAAAAAGTTTGAATCGAACCCAAAAAAAAAACAAAAAAAAAAAGGAAAAACCGTCAAAATTTTGGATCTCATTCAGATTTCGCGGTCTACTTTGTGAAAATATCTGTTGATTCCCCCCCCCCCCCACAACGTTGCGATTTTTCTTTCCTATGACGGGAGCAAAGGGGAAAAGTGATTTTTGGGACGAAGGTAAAAGAAAAAAAAAAAAAGGGATTTCGAAGGACGGTGAAGAAGAGGAGGAGGATGAGGGGGGGATGTATGACGCGTAAGGGAGCCGGTTGATTATTCGCAAGACTTTTACTAGTTTTTCTTTTTTCTTTTCTCTCTCTCTCTCTCTCTCTTTCTATTTCAATTTAATTTTAATTTAAATTTTATTCGATTCGTCGTTCGTTTATCGGACTCATTATTATTATTATTATTATTAAATAATATAAGAAAAAAAGTGATTTTTATTTTATTTAATTTTTTTTCTTAGTTTCTTTCGGGTGTCGTCTCGCCATTTTTAATCATTATCATTATCATTATTTCGAATCAGGGGAAAAGTGTGCGTGTGTGTGTGTGCAGATGTGCGTGTGTATAAGTGTCGGAAAATTTTTTTGATATCGTAATGAGAAATTATTTGGATTAGTTTTCTTTTCTTTTCATTTTTTCTTTTTTTTCGGTTCGAATAAGTACGAATAATAATAATAATAATAATAGTAATAAATAAATCGTACGTGTGATTTTTTCGTTTTTTGTTGTTTTCTATTTGTTTCCAGAAGGAAAAACAAAATTTTTTTTATGTTTTTTATATATTTAATCTGAGTAATAGTAGAAGAAGAAGAAGAAAAATGTTATTTATAGATTGGATTTAAAAAAAAAAAAAATTTCAAATCTAAATATATATATATATATTTATTTATTTATTTATTTATTTCGTCGTCGATTATAGAACGTCGTCGTCGTCGTCGTCATCATCATCTTTAGAATTGTTCTAGTACATTCTTTTTTTTTTTTTTTTTTTAATTAAAAAAGTATAAAAAAAAAAAATAAAATAAAATAAAAAAAAGAAATAGAAAAAAAATAATGCATAAAATCTGTTGAGCCAAAAAGCCTTTTTTTTTTTTTTTTTTTTTTTTTTTTCATTCAAGGGATAATCCTTAAATGGTTGTTCGTTTTTAATTCGTCTTTTGAACCCTTTTTTTACCATTTCAACCATTTTCTTTAAGGGTCAATTACAATTATTATTATTATTATTATTATTTCTACTTTTTCCGTTAACGATAATTGTACATATATACCGTGATATCGTGTCGTTTGTGAATAAAAGTTTTTTTTATTTTTATTTTTATTTTTATTTTTTTTTTTTCGACGAAAAACCTTTTAAAAAATTTTTTTTTTCTTCTAATAAATAAATAAATAAATGTAAATTAAATAAATTTGATAGGTGAGGAAAAAATAAATAAATAAATAAAATGATGTCAATAAATAAACCTATGAATAATTATTTTCGTGGTGTTAAAAAAGAGGAAATTCAAAGGCAGACAAATTTATTAATACAAACAATGACTGTAAGTTTTTAATTATTAATTATTAATTATTATTATTATTATTTATTAATTTGTCGCGGTTTTTGAATTTTCTTCATCATCGACGTATAACGTCTGTTTGTTTGGTTGTTTGTTTCGATCGCGAAAAAAGTTCCTGTTGCAATGAGGATTTTTTCCAGGAAGGAAAATGTCGTTGTTCAAAACTATATCCGGTTTTTTTTTTTTTTTTTGTTTGTTTGCAGATAGAAGAATTATATTCGGAAATATTATTCGAAATATTAAACAATGTCGGGTGCGACGTGGAATCCACGGAGGAACAAACGGAAATAATTAATTACCTACAGCAAGCTTTTCATTTGGAAGATGACAAACATAGTTTTCTGTTGCAAACGGCAAAGGAAAAAGAACCGCCAAATATTCTTTTGAACGTCGAAGTCATCGAAGCAAAAGATTTGAAACCGAAAGATTGCAATGGTAAGCAAAAACAATTAAAATTAAGCAATCACACGCACGCACGCACGCACGCACGCACACACGCATGTATGAATCCATAGAGAAATTAACAATAAAAATCTTTAATAATGGAGTGAATGACGGTTATTGAGAGATTCCTTTTCTCTTTCCCTCTCTCTCTCTCTCTTTCTCCCCTTTAATTTTTGCACAGGAGTTTTCCGGGAATATCGGGATTGAAAATTCATTAGGACACAATTTAGGACATTGTTTGTTTTTCTGCTGGGTTATGCTTGCACCATGTGGGTGAGTTTCGTAGAAAACTTACCTGTTAACCTACTTTCGAGAGTTGATTTAAACAACTTGGGGGGGGGGGGCAGTCATAAGGTCGCAGGTAGTTTTTTTAAGTTAAGTTCGAATAAACGTTAAACATTCGATGCTAGGTAAAAAAAAATTGCTCAAAAGAAAAAGATAGTAATAATAATAATAATAATAATAATAATAATAATAATAATAATAATAATAATAATGGTTTATTTAAAAAACAATCAGTTAAATGTTCCCACTTCGGACGGGGTTTGAGATTTGAATTTTTCCATGACGGTACCTTTTAATCTCATGGCGTGAGTATCAAATACCTGAGGTTTCCTCCTATTTCTACATATTTTTTCGTGTACGACGAGTCTACAGGGGAAAAAAGTTCTATTACACGAACTACAATTAACCAAAGCGACATTTTTATCCGCGTCGTCATTTTTATCGGATGCGAAATTAAATTTGTTTGACGTTAACATGATTTCCGAATTCGTATCTCTTATACCAAGTTTTTTTTTTTTTCTTTTTTTCCCTCCCCTCCCCTCCCCTCTTCTCTTCTCTTTTTCGTATTTGTATGATGATAGTCCGTGGAAAGACGTTTTGTTTTACGATTTTTAAAAAATTTTATTATTATTATTACTTTCTTCTACTACTACCACCCCCTCCTGTAACATAATTTAATAAAATGTATAGTGCACGTACAAATTGATTGCGTGGGTGTATGATTATTATTATTATTATTAGATAAAACATACCTACCCGAATGTGTGTTGGAATTTAATTGATGTATTCATTCACTTATAATTTAGCAGTAAATTTTAATTAATTTTGATTTTCATTATATTTTTTTTTTTATTAAATTTAAAACAAAAAAAAAAAACCTAAAATTAAATTTTAAATGAAAAAATAAAATAATAATAATAATAATTTTTTTTGTTGTTTTTACAATTTGAAAAAAAAAATATTCGTATGAAAAATATTTATTTTTTTAAAAAAAATGGAATTCGGAACGTTGTTGATTTTTTTAAAAAATTATAAAGTTATGGAAATCAAAAAACCGTTAAAAAAAAAAAAAAAATTTATTATTTAAAATACTCGGTCGGGGTTTTTTAAAAAAAAAAAAATTATAATTTTTTTTTTTTTATTTACGAAAAAACAAACAAACAAAAATTATACAATAATAATAAAGTTTAAAAGGAAATAATTATTAAAAATAATAATAATAAAGAAAGAAATGGAGAATACATTGCTTACGTCATTATCAACCCCCTAGAAATAAAAAAAAAAAAAAAAAAAAAAAAAAAATTTCTTTCCTTATTAATTATGCCCCCGAGTCTCGTTTTTCTTTTCTAATTTTTTTTTTTTTTTTTTTCCTCCATTTTTTTTTTTTTTTAATTTAGGGTTGAGCGATCCTTTTTGTACTCTTTATTTAAATTCAACTCCAACTCATAGATATAATACTTCGGTTAAAACAGAAACTCTTTGTCCAGTTTGGGAAGAACATTTTTCTCTGTAAGTTTTTCTCTATCTATCTCTCTCTTTTTTTTTTTTTGTTAATATTTCAAAGGAGGAAAATGAACTATAATTATAATTGTAATTTTTTTTTTTTTTTTTTTAAAGACCTGTTCATAGTCCGGCAGATGATGTTTTACACGTGGAAGTTTGGGATTTCGATCCGGCGGAAACGATAAGAGAAAAAATGACGAAAATAGGAGACGTCAAAGGAGTCAAAGGATTTAGTAAATTAATAAAAGAAATTGCCGTAACGGCTTCGACGGGAAAACACGATAACGAATTGGTCGGAACGACTAATATTCCTTTGAAGGTATGTTTTCACCCCCCCAGTCCCCAGCCTCCAGCCCCTAGCTCCCAGCCCCCAACCTCCCCATTCATATTTTTTTTTGTGCTTGATTAAAGGTGATTCCCGCTTCCGGTCAAACGTTTTGGTTGCATTTAAAAAAAAAATCAAAAACTAAAAAAAGAGGTGACGTCAAATTGAAATTATCATTCAGTTCGGAAAAAAATTCACAGGTTTCGTTACAGGAATACAGGCATCTTTTGAAATTATTATTATTACACGAATTGAATAACACAAAGGTACGATCATCGTCATCGTCATCGTCAATTATCATTATCAATAACCGTTTTTTTTTTTTTTTCTCGAAAGGTTGATCCTTACGAATGGAATGGAAATTTTTCATCACTGGCCAAAGACATATTGACTCAGCACATAGCTCAAAGTGGACTCACTACGTCGTCTGTACTTTTAGCACAATGGATCGAATTTATATCCGTTCATTCGGATCATCCTCTTAATTTTATATTATTTAAAAATATATTATTAAAATTGACGACGACGATACACGCGGGAAATTTGCAAGACGACGAGGTTTGAAACGACGACTGTGTGATTGATTGGAAAAAATTTTCCCATTATTATTATTTATTTACTTTTTTTTTTGTCTTACAGCTTAAGCTTTTTTGGGAAGCGACGAAAAAATTTCTTCCATCTTGTATTAATTACATAAGGAAAATTCGTAAATATCCTGTTAATAATAAAACAATAACTAACCAGGCGAATACGGCCATAAGGTCATTATTTTAAATTATTATTATTATTATTATTATTGTTGTTGTTGTTTTGGTAATGATGAAAAGTTTTAGAAAATTCTTTTAATTTTAAACGTGGATTTCATTTTTTTAGTATTTTATCAATATTGAGTGATTTAAACGTGCCAGAAGACGTGACACTTTTTTCTCGTTCCACGTACGGTTGGTTGAGAGAACCAGAAGAAAACGAAGATGGTAAATACGAAATAAAACAAGTTGTCAAAGAAGCCATAATTCAAGGAGCATCCGATTGGTTGGTTGGATTTTTGTAACGGATAAAAATGTTTGTACGAAATGATTTTAAATAATAATAATAATGATAAAACTTGCAGGTACAATCATTTAATTAGTTCAAATTCTGAAGAAAAGTCTTTAGAAGATCAGTTACAACTTATTATTAGAGTCGTACAATTTGTAAGAACAGACATTCAAAGAGCTTTAGAAAGTTATGAAAAAGTTTTTAAAGAGTGAGTGAGGAGCAAACAAACAACAAACAACAAACAAAAAAAAAAAAAAAAAACTTTTTTTAATATTTTTTTTGTGTTTTAGAAACATGCAGTTTTCTTATGCCAGAATTTTATACGAATTCTACGAAGAAAAGGTAGTAAAAATTTTCTTTTTTTTTTAATAACAACCTTTGACCTTTTTTAATTATTATAATTTGTTTGGGGGGGGGGGAGTTAGATTTCAGAAATGGCAGAAGACGTGGTCGTGGAAGCATGCAAACTTCTTAAACCGATTAAATTTAAAGAAATTCATAACAGGTTGGAAAATCGTTTCGAAGAAGGTGATGATAATCCAATGTTAAAAATGGGAACGACCCTTTTCGAATTGTATTTGGGATTGCAAAGATTTGCCATGTGCGTTAGCATTTTCTCTCTCTCTCTCTCTCTCTGTTTCTCGATTCCTTCAATTTTTTTTTTCCAAATTTTAGTTTGGGTACCGGTTTGTGTCCGACGGGTAGTTCATTTAAAATCAACGAATTTCATTTATGGTTTCATAGAGGAGTCGCTCAATGGTTGGACATAGCTTTATATAAGGCAATGCAAAGAATCGAAAAAGCAGCCGAATTGGATAATTTAAAACCTGTTGATTCAAGCGTTAAATACAGTTCTTCTGCCGTCGACACTCTTGCCATATTTTATCAGGTAATTTTAACAATATCAATAATAATAATAATAATAATAATAATAATAATAATAATTTATCAAATGTTTAAAATTGATTTTTGAACGCGGCAAAAATTTTAAAATTAAATTTTTCTATCTCATTTTTAAGATAAAAATATTTTGGAAACAATTGGCTTGGCCGGATGTGGAAGGATCTTATACTTTTATAGCTAAAATCATAGATGTAAGTTTTTTTTTTCTTTTTTTTGTTTTTTTTTTTGGGGGGGGGGTGGGGAGTCAAAATGAATTTTTGTATTAAATATTAAAAAATGGTTAAAATGTACACGGGTAGGATATTTGCCGATGTTGCATATTTTACGCGGATAGAATGACGCGTAAAGTCGAAGGGATCGGACACACGAGTTCCATTTACGAAGATAAATTTCAAGTGACTCACGAATGGTGTTTGGCAATAAATAATATCGATTACGTGAGAACGTCTATACCGACATTTTCAAAGGATTTAGGTTTGGATGACATCATATCCGCTTTGGCGGATTTTCAAAGTCCTTCGGCTGCCGATCACTGTAAGCAAACGCTCACGATAATTGTCGAAAATGCAATGGAAACGGTCGGAAATAAAATATTAGAATTGCAAGACACGGTCGTATCGAAAGTAAATAATCATTTTTTATTAATACGCCATTTTGTTTTTTTTTTTTCTGAAAAACAAAAAAAGAATCCGGATCGTAATTATACTTAATTTTTTGTGTTTGCACAGATGTCGCCATCTATAAATAGATTTTTAATGGAAGGTGCCGAATTATTACACAGGGAATCGAATAGCGTCGAAAGGTTGATGCAATATTTGGACGAAAATTTAATCATGTTGAATAATCAATTGAACGAAGATAATTTTCAAGGGATTTTAAACGTTATTTGGAACACTGTTGCATTACTATTAAATCAACTCGTGAAAAATAGTTTAGAAGTAAGGATTTTGTATAAAATAAAAAAAAAAAATTTTATTATACCTGGACTAAGGTTCTTTTCCTTCCCCCTACCTCCCCGTCTCGCTTTTCTGTTCGTTTGTTCGACAATACTAAATGAAAAATTTTTATTATTTTAGAAAAGAAGACCCCCGAGTTTTTTTTCAAATCTTTATTTAACACTTCAAATATTGAAAAATTTTTTTAAAAAAACGGAAGATTCGAAATCGAATACGAAACTCGCGTCCATAGAACACAATTTGAGACTACACGGATTGGAAACGTGGGAATTGATACATCAATTTCATTTGGAAAGGTTTAAGGAACAGGAAGAAATGGAAAATGCAAATTTAGGTTACGTCACCGTAAGAGGTCAATTCGTTGATAATTTATTAAAAATTGAAATTATGAATGCGAGAAATCTTCATCCGAAAGATTCAAACGGTCAGTATACATTAATTTATCTTTTAATAATTATTATTATTATTATCGTTTTTCAGGTTTAAATTATTCTTATTCATATTCTTTTCAGGTTCTTGCGATCCTTACGTTAAAATTAATTTAATACCGGAAGAAAAATTTTCATCCGTAACGAAACCTCGAACTAAAACACATAAGAAAACAACATTTCCATTGTTTGATGAAGTTTTTTCAATGTGAGTGTTTGTTGTTGTTGTTTGTTGTTTTGAAAAGAATAATAATAATGATGGAGATGATGATGAATTCTTTTTTTTTTTTTCGTTCAAGGCAATTGACGTCGGATCAAAAAAATATAGAAAATTCGCTAATACATTTTATAATAAAAGATCAAGATTTTCTCGGTAACGAATTTTTAGGGGAGGCTTACATGGATTTGAAAAACATTCCGACAACGGATTCCTCCGTGAGCATTCATTCACTTTCTCAAATACATTTAAAACTGAGTCGTCCGACGAATTTCAATTCTGAAGCTTTTAAAGCTTTAGAACATCGCATAGGTGATAAATTAGCGAGAGAATTTTTAAAAAAACAAAGAACAAAAATTTCTCCTTGAATATTTAAAAAAAAAAAACGAGGGGGGAAGGGGGAGGGATTTACCGTATTACGACATGATGTGTTTTATTATTATTATTATTATTGTTTCTAATACCAAAGACTGTTTAATTAACTATTTAATATTAAAATTATCATCATCGTATTATCAAAGGTCATAATCATCGTATGTTATTATTATTATTATTATTATTATTTTTAACATATAAAAACGTTGGTTCGACTTGTGTGATGACGACGACGACGCTTCTTTCTTTTGGCTGTGGTAAATGTTTCAAAAAAAAAACAAAAAACAAAATGGCGGAAATTTTTGTTTTTGTGTATTTTTAACAAGATTTATCAATCATTAATTTGATGATTTATATCGTTAAATGCGTTATAATAAAATTATTTATTTTGCGTTAAGACGACGACGAAGACGACAGCATGCTGTTGTGTTGTCAAAATTTTCCTGTCGTTGGATTTTTTATTATTCACGACGTGACAAAACGAATCTTTTAAATTGTTGTTTAAATTTCAAAACGTAATTTCGATATCATCATCATCATCATCATCATCATCATCATTAATCATTAATCATTTTGATTTTAATTAAAAAAAAAAAAAAATTGATTTTTAATATATATATATTAAATTAAATTAAATTAAATTAAATTTTCCGAAATTTTCAAATATATGCATATGCATATTTGAATTAATAACAAGTGAGTGTAACGGTTTTTATTATTATTATTATTTACGTAAAAAATGAATTTTTATAATTTATTATTATTATTATTAATTATAAAAGAATCATTTAAAAAAAAAAAAAATTAAATTTAAATTAATTATTTTATTGTATTTAATTAATAAATTTTTTTTTACTACACGATTTAAAATGAAATAAATCCACGCAATATTATTATTATTATTATTGTGATGGGAAAATATTTAAAAAAAAGAAAATTTCTTTTGTTTTTTCTCGTCAATGCAATTTATTTATTTAAATTGTAATTGGATTAACAAAATCAATTTAAATTAAATTAAAAGAAAAAAGAAGGAAATTTACGATAATCTAATTCCTCCAGTTTTTGAACATTTATTCATATCTACAGGTACGAGATCTAAAAAAAGAATAAATTTAATATTAAATTTAACGTAAATCATCATCATCATCATCATCATCATTATTATTATTATTATTATTGTTTTTGTTTATTTATATATATAGAAAATAATATTTAATATTTACGTGAATTGTGTTCGCAATTGTGAGTGTTTAAAACGCATTTATTTCCAAAAAGTCTCGGAGAAGATTTTGAATCGTTTAAATCGGCAGCACAAACAGGATCGTAATTAGCTGGACAAATATTTGGACATTGCTGTTGCTGTTGTCCTTTTAATTTATTTTTTCCACCTCCTGGTAAACCATGAACTGAAGCAATGGCAACCATGACTGTGGAAAATTTAAATTAAATAAAAAAAAAAAAAATCATATTCAATGTAAAAAAAAGAAATTTTTTTTTTTTTTTTTACATGAGGCAATATGCATTTTTAAATCATTATTATTATTAATATTTAAATAATTAAAAAATAAATAAATTATATAAATAAATATTAATTTACATACCAACAAAAGTAAATGCAATAATAAATTTCATTTTTTTATTTTAATAAATAAATAAATAAATAAATAAAACCTTGTTACAAGTTTGCTAACTTTATTCAAACTAATCCGACAAGTTATTTAGCAATAAAATTTATAAAATAACCTCGAGATGTGTAAATCGTTGCTTATCCGGTTATTACTATTATTATTATTATTATTATTATTTTAAATAATTTTTTTCCTTATTTGGACATAATTGTCATTATTAAATAATTTTCCTCAATTATTTTTTTTGTATTGTTTGTAAACGTGTAGGAAAAAAAAATTTTTTTCTTTTTCCTTTTCTTTATTTGTTTATCTATTTTCAAGTTTGTTTTTTTTTTTGGGGGGGGGATGGAGGGGAGGGGAGGAAACGATGAGGGGAAGGGATTATCGATTGATTTTTTTTTTTTTGTTTAAAACTTTATTTTTTTTTTTTAAATAATGTTTAAGTGGTAAAATAGATAAATTTGTTAAAAATTAAATTTATTTATTTTTTGTTGTTATCGTGATGATTTTAAAATCGTGTCTTTGTTTTATTTATTTTATTATTAGTTTAATATTTAATATTGTTTATAAAAAAAAAAATGAAATTGTTTATAAAAAAAAAAAATGAAATTGTTTATAATATTGTTTGTTAAGAGGAAAAAAAAAATTTATATTGCGTGGTTAAAATAAATAAAAAATTATTTTTAAATATTTAAATGTCAAAAGATCAAATATTAATATTATCGAATTGTTTTTATATATTATGGGAAAAGTATTAATTTTATTATTATTATTATATTTTTATTTGATGAAAATATAATAATAATAATATTATTTAAATGATATGATGATATAAATTTTTATTTGTTTTGTTTAATTTTGCCTGTGGATAAGATTTTGAAATTTTTTTATAAAAAAATCAAAAAAGAAAAATTTAAGTTAAATAAAAAAAAAGGTGTAAAATAATTTGATTTATAAAATAACAATAACAACAAAAAGAAGAGTAAATAAATAAATAAATAAGGTCAAAAAAGTTTTATTTTAAATTAACATTAATTTAATTATTATTATTTAAAAAAAAAAAACAAAAAAAACTGACTGCATTAATTAATAATAAAAAATAAAAAATAAAAAGTTTATTTATTTATTTATTTATTTTTTTCTAATGCAAATTTTTTTTTTATTTCATCAAATATAATTTATTTTAAACTTTATTTTATTTATTTAATTGAAATTAAAATAATTAAAAATTACTAAAAAAAAAAAAAACAAAAAAAATTTTTTTTTTTGTTATTCGAGTGTTGAAATTTCTTTTTTTCAAAAACTTTTTTGATTTTTTTAAAAAATAATTTTGTTTTTTTCTGTTTATTAACTTAAAAATTTCTTTTTGTAAATTATTTAAAATATTTGTTTAAAAAAAACTTTTTTTTTTTTTTTTAAAAGTATAAATTTGTGTTTACACTTATTTCAAGTTTTTTACAACAACAACAACAAAAAAACATAAAATGTAATTATGTATATATTTTGTTTTCTTTTTTTTATTTTAGAGATTTTAAAAAGTTATTTTATGTTATGTATTTTTTATAATTATTGTCATTAACTTTCTCTTGCCATTTTGACATGATTATCACCATAAATAATGATAATTAAAAATATTTTTGTGTATTACTCGATTATTTGCCAATTCGATAAAAAATTTAATGGCATAAAATAAATAATTACAATATAAAATATTAATAGAATTACTGTTTTTAATTGTAATTAAACTTTTGGGTGTAAAATCATCACTTCCCTTATTCGATTAACGATTAATTGATTTATAAAATTTTAGTAATTAAACATAATTAATTGACAATAAAATGTAACCTATTTAATTGAATAATTAAACTAAATAATAATCCTCTCACTTTAATAAATTTATTTAATCGATTTTAATAATTTTTAAACTGAATTTTAAGTGTTTTTTAATTTGATGTTTAATAAATTTTTAATCTTTTTGTGTAATTAAGCAATATATATTTTTTTTTGTTTGCATGTATGATTTTTACGATAAAATTTTTGATAAAAACAATTGTTGTTTATTGTTTTTAAGGTGTAATAAATTTCAAAAGAAAAACAATTATTTATTTTTAATTATCGTATTTTATGTTACGTGATTTGGTAAATTATTATTAAGGTTTTTTCTAGGTATTCGATTGATAACTAAAAAAATGAAATTAATAAATCTAATATAATTATTGATTGAAAATAAAACAATAAAGGTCCAATAATACGGTGGTTATCGACGGCGGCAGCCATGTTGGTAGAATCGAAGTTTCTACCAACATGGCTGCCAAATAAAAAAATTATGCAGGGAAATTTTTTTTTTTCTGTCATATTGCCATGTAGTAATGGTTACCTAAACACATTATAAGAGTTAAAGTTTTTAAATTTGATATTTAATTTTATTTAAAATGGAAAATAATAAAGTTAAAGGTTTCCACGAAATGGAAATAGACGATCGTATTTTAAAGGTATATTTTTTTGTAATATTTTTAAAAATCATATTTGTTTAATACTTATATGTGGATAATTTGTGTCTTTTGCCATGTGGACCAAAAATTAATATTTTAAATTTTAACGGTAATTTAAATGTAAAAAATTATGTTTTTTAATAATTTGTTTTTTTAGGCGATTGCTAGGCTTGGCTGGATTGAGCCTACTTTAATTCAAGAAAAAGCTATCCCTCTTATATTAGAAGGAAAAAACATTCTTTTAAGAGCAAGAACTGGAAGTGGTAAAACAGCAGCGTTTGCTATTCCTGTTATTCAAAAAATTTTGAGCGCTAAACCTGTAAGATAATAATTATTTATTTTAAATATTTTTTAGGTTTGGTGTTACCTTAATTACAATAATTTTTAATAATTTCAGTTATCGTTAAATCAAGTGATTCGAGCATTAATTTTAGCTCCTTCTAAAGAATTGTGCAGTCAAATATACCAGAATTTTATCGAGTTAACAGTTAAATGTTCAAGAGAAGTTTCTTGCTTAGATATATCACAACATTTAGAATTATCAGCACAAAAACCTTTATTAGTTGAAGGACCTGATGTAGTTATAGCTACTCCAAGTCGTGCCTTGGCTCATTTGAAAGCTCAAAATATGACGCTTAAAGATTCTTTAGAAATGCTGATTGTTGATGAGGCAGATTTAGTTTTTTCATTCGGTTTTGAAAATGATTTGAAACAAATACTAAGGTAAGGATTTATTTTGTAAAGAAAGTTTTTATTTCATTACTTATCATTATTGACTTGAAATTTTCAAATTTTATTTTAGTTATTTACCAGATGTTTATCAAGCTGTATTAGCAAGTGCCACTTTAACAAAAGATGTTTTAAATTTAAAAGAATTAACATTACAAAATCCTGTAATATTAAAATTAAAGGAACCTGAATTGGCACCAACAACACAATTAGCTCACTATCATATAAGTGCTGAAGAAGAAGAAAAAGCTGTTATATTATATGTATTGTTAAAATTAAGTTTGATTAGGGGTAAAACAATAATATTTGTCAATCATGTAGATAAATGTTATAGGCAAGTTTTATTGATTTTTTTGTTGTTTTTTTTTTATTGGGTTTTTGTTTTGTTTTTAATATTTATTTGAAATTTTTACATAAAAAAAATATTTACTTAAAAGTAATTGAGAAATTCTTTTAGTAAATTACATTTATAAAACTCTAGCATTTATAATTTCAGACTAAAACTCTATTTAGAACAATTTAATATTCCCAGTTGTATTTTAAATTCTGAATTACCTGCTTCCATGAGGTGTCATGCAGTAACACAGTATAACTTGGGAGTGTATGACTTAATAATTGCATCCGATGAAAATATTGCTGATGATCCTGGGGCAAATTTAAATAATAGGTAGGGTGTTTATGTTTTTTTACATATAATTTAAATTAATTTTTTCAATTATGATGGAGAAAATATGTTTTTTAAAATTGTTTAAAAAAAAAAAAAATAATAATAATAATGTCATGAAATTATTTTATTATTTTAGGAAAAGAAAGAAAGATAAAGAGTTTGGAGTTATTCGTGGGATAGATTTCCAATTTGTGTCTAATGTAATTAACTTTGATTTCCCAAAAACTGTTGTATCATACATTCATAGAGTAGGCAGAACTGCTAGAGGGAACAATGAAGGAACAGCTCTTTCATTTGTTGCTAGCAAAGAGAGGCAATTGTTTGAGGAAGTAGAAAATCATTTAAAAATGTCATATGATATTGATTCCAATCAATCTGTTATTAGGTAAACAATAATAAAATCAATTTTTTAAAATATATCTATTAAATATTACTTTCAGTAATTAAAGTACAAAAAAATTATTTTAGAGCATATGAATTTAAAATGGAAGAAGTAGAAGGATTTAGATATCGTTCTAGAGATGCATGGAGGGCTGTCACAAAAATAGCCGTGCGCGAAGCTAGGTTAAAAGAAATTAGACAGGAAATATTAAATGACAACAAATTAAAAGTAGGCTTCATTTATATTTTTTTTTCTCAGTCATAATAATTTGATTAACAAACACCTAACTGTAGCAAACATTAAAACTTTTTATTTTTAAACAAAATTTTTTTTTATAAGGTTTCTTGTTAAAATGTGTATTATTTTTTTTTTTTTTTTAGAGTTATTTCAAAGATAATCCTAGAGATCTTCAGTGTTTAAGGCATGATAGAGCGCTACATACTGTAAAACAGCAACAACATTTGGCCAATGTTCCAGAATATATTATTCCTCCTTCTTTAAAAGGTTTAAACATAGCAACTACTTTAAAGAAAAGAAAACCTAATTACAATGTTTCAAAATCAAAATCAAAATATTTGGCCAAAGCAGAAGACCCACTTCTATGTTTAAAATTTGAAGGAAATAAAAAAAGAAGAAAAAAATAAATTTTACGACAACATGGAACATTGATAAATAATAAAATACAAAAATTTTTACGAAATTGTTCAGACTATGTATATTTTTTATATGTTTATAAGTTTAACATTTTATTAAATATTAAATGAAATACAATAATAATTACTTAATATTTTAAATTTCTCTAAAAATAAATGTTTATTTATCGCAAAATGAATGTACGGCTTGCACATTGTAAAAATTTGTATTATATTGTAAACTTGCGACAATTTTCCCCAGCAGCCATTTTTTATAAATCTTGCTATACTCGTTTACGTTTTTACGTTCCATGAAAATTACGGCTCATATTTCGTTGAAATTTTAATAAGCATTTGCATCAAAAATGTCTAAAAGGAGAATAGAGGTAGATCCTTACATTAAGAGAAAAAGGTAAAGTTGTTTAAAATTAAATCATTTGATACAAATAACAAACCAGGAAATATTAAACCACTTTAAATATATAAATATTTTTTTTTTTTTTTTGAATGTTACAGGACCGAAGAAGGTGACAATTCTTCTTCTTCCTCCGGACCCCCCGCACCTAAATATTCAAATCAATCTCAATCAGGATTATCTATAAACCCTTACACAAAATTACCTCACACTCCTCGCTATCATGAATTGTATAGGAAAAGAATTACCTTGCCCGTTTTCGAGTATCGAGAAGAGTTTATGAAATTGTTAGCAAATAACCAGTGTATAGTATTAGTGGGTGAAACGGGTTCGGGAAAAACTACTCAAATACCACAATGGTTAGTTTTCAATTATATTTTTACTTAAAAAAAATCAAGTTATTGTATGAATCTTTAAATAGCATATTACGCCATTGCCTGTAAACTGTTATTTGTAACCTTATTCTTTTATAAAATTAAAGTAATAAAGTTGATGTAATTTAAATAATTTTACAGGTGTGTAGAATACTCAAGATGTTGTGGTTCCAAGGGGGTTGCTTGTACACAACCAAGAAGAGTAGCTGCTATGTCGGTTGCTCAAAGAGTATCTGAAGAAATGGATGTTTGCCTGGGGCATGAAGTGGGTTATAGTATAAGATTTGAAGATTGTTCTTCATCGAAAACTATGCTTAAGTAAGATTTGTTTAATTTTACTTATTACATTATTTTCTCTCTAAGTCTTTTTTAAGAAATTTTTATTTAAAAAAAAAAAAAAACATCTGAAATCTGTTATAATGAACTACAAACATAAGTGCTTTGATTTTCTTAATTGAAAAATGTTTTTAATAAAAATGAAATTACAAATTGTAATATTATTGTTTAATAAAATTTTATTCTAAATTATTTTTATTCAGGTATATGACAGATGGTATGTTGCTCAGAGAGGGAATGTCAGATCCTATGTTAGAAGCCTATCAAGTGATTTTACTTGATGAAGCTCATGAAAGAACCTTAGCAACTGATATTTTGATGGGTGTTTTAAAAGAAGTTATCAAACAAAGAGCAGATTTAAAGCTTGTTATTATGTCTGCCACACTAGATGCTGGAAAATTTCAGGTAATTTAAATTTATAAATTTTTTTTTTTTAAATTACAAACTTTATTTACAAAAAGGTATTTTAAGCCATTTAATGTTGTTATGTAGTTACACATGTTGAATCATTATATTTCAGCAATATTTTGATAATGCTCCGTTAATGAATGTACCTGGGCGAACTCATCCTGTTGAAATATTTTATACTCCAGAACCGGAAAAAGATTATTTGGAAGCTGCTATACGTACTGTGATACAAATACACATGTGTGAAGAAATACCTGGAGATATTTTATTGTTTTTAACAGGTTTCTTTTTTTTCTTTTTATTTTTTTTTTAAATTAAATTTTTTTATTTTAAACATTTTTTATTGAGGTTAATTTATAATGCAAAAAAATAGGACAAGAAGAAATTGAAGATGCTTGTAAAAAAATTAAAAGAGAAATTGAAGGCATTGGACCTGAAATAGGTGACATGAAATGCATTCCATTATATTCAACATTGCCTCCCAATTTGCAACAAAGAATATTTGAACCAGCTCCTCCTAATAAACCTAACGGCGCCATTGGTAGAAAAGTTGTCGTTTCGACAAATATTGCAGAAACTTCATTAACTATTGATGGAGTTGTGTTTGTTATTGATCCAGGATTTGCTAAACAAAAAGTGAGGCACCTGTTTGATTTTGTAATTTTGAAAATACCATCTTAAAAAAAAATTAAGTTTAATGGCGCATTTAATGTAAAATAATATTTCAGGTTTACAATCCTCGTATTAGAGTCGAATCTCTGTTAGTGTCTCCTATAAGTAAAGCTTCTGCTCAACAAAGAGCCGGTAGAGCGGGTAGAACGCGCCCTGGAAAATGTTTTAGGCTTTACACGGAAAATGCGTATAAACAAGAAATGCAAGATAATACTTATCCAGAAATTTTAAGATCAAATTTAGGGTCGGTTGTTTTGCAACTAAAAAAACTTGGAATTGACGACTTGGTTCATTTTGACTTCATGGATCCTCCAGGTTTTATTTTCTTCTCTTATATTTGGGCTTATTTAAAATTACGTAATTTCTATAACGAATTATTATTTTTTTGAAATTTTAGCTCCGGAAACGCTTATGAGAGCATTAGAACTTCTCAACTATTTAGAGGCTCTTGACGATGATGGAAACTTAACTCAGTTGGGCGCCATCATGGCCGAATTTCCTTTAGATCCTCAATTAGCAAAAATGTTGATAGCTAGCTGCGATCATAATTGTTCCAATGAAATTCTTTCCATCACGGCTATGCTCTCAGGTAGTATAAAAACTAAATATTTGCACAATTTAAAAATTTAAAAAATTTGTAAAGCACGGATATCATAATTTTAAAAACTTGACAAACTTGAAGCCAAAATTGTTATCAGTTGTTCGATTTTTCCTCAAGGTTTTTTTTTTGGGGGGGGGGGGTAAGCTAAAAAAAAAAAAAAAACTAAAACTTTCGGTCCAAGAAAAATTTCTTGCAGGGAAGAATCCTTCTTCGTAAAAAAAAAAAAAAAAAAAAATATATATAGATATATATGTATATAAAAAAAAATGATTGATAAAACGTTTTCAATCATCTTTTTTTATTCAATAAATAATAACTTGGAAGGATTCTAACTTGCTATAGCTCATGTAGGTTAAAAGATGAACTAAACTGGTTGGATGCGGGCATCTGCCTCTCCATTATTTAGTCCCACAGTGTTTCGTGAGACCAAATGAAGCAAGAAAAGCGGCTGACGATGCAAAAATGAGATTCGCTCACATAGATGGTGATCATTTAACACTTTTAAACGTTTATCACGCCTTCAAGCAAAGTAAGTTTTATTTTGTGTGTGTGTGTGTGTGTGTGTGTGTGTGTGTGTGTGTATGTCGTCAGTTTTTTTTTTTTTTTTAAATTACCATTGAAATATTATTATTTGTTTTTCAGACATGGAAGATCCACAATGGTGTTATGATAATTTTGTCAACTATAGATCTCTCAAATCGGGGGATAACGTTAGACAACAATTGTCGAGAATCATGGATAGATTTGAGTTAAAAAGAACGTCAACAGAATTCACGTCGAAAGATTATTACATCAATATAAGGAAAGCGTTAGTTGCTGGATTTTTCATGCAGGTACCCGCCATTAAAACGATTCATGTATTTATCAAAGTATTAGAGTAATAATAATAATAATAATTATTTGTCTTGCAGGTGGCACATTTAGAAAAAACCGGACATTATTTAACAATTAAGGATAATCAAGTTGTTCAATTACATCCATCAACTTGTCTCGATCATAGACCGGAATGGGTTATTTACAACGAATTCGTATTGACGACAAAAAATTACATTAGGACAGTCACAGACATAAAACGTGAGTTATTTTTAAATTTATTTCTTAATCGTTTTATATTTTAGCAATACTGTATTAAGAGAAAACTAAATAAATAAATAAATAAATTTATTAATTGTATTTTAGCGGATTGGTTACTTAAAATCGCTTCACAATATTACGATTTAGAAAATTTTCCACAATGTGAAGCCAAAAGACAATTGGAGCTTTTACAATCAAAACTTGAATCAAGGCAGTATCAGGAAGGTTTTTGAATGTTTTGTTAAATAACTAATTTTTTTTTTTTTTTTTTTTTTAAACTTTATTATTATTAAATAAATAAAAAACATCTTAATTTTTATACTGTTTTTTCGAAAATAACAATTAGATTTGACGAAATAAAATATCATCAGCAAAGGGGATTAATTATCACAATGGAAGTAATAAAAAAGTTTTTTTTTTTTTTTTTCAAAAATTTTATTACTAAGTATTTAAATTCTGGTTTTTATTTTTTAAATTAATATTTACATTGTAAATTCTTCTACTACAAATTGCTTAATTTTTTTGTGTAGTGTTTAATAAATAAAATATCAGTGTAATTGAGAATTTTAAGTTATTTATTTTGAAATTTGTAAGAAATTTTTTGTTGTTGTTGAGGATCTGACTTTTACTTTTTTGTTTAGTTGAAAAAAATTTAATTTATAGTCATAGAGATAAAAACATTTTATTTCTGCAGTCTAAATACACGTTCTTATTTAGGTTGGTATTATTAATCTAGATTATGGTTTGGTTTCGAAAAAATTGAAGAGCTTGTGCAATTGCTTCAAATATTGGAATTATTTTCGTAATTACGCAGCGAAGTTATTATTTTTGTAGTTACTGAGCCGAGGTACTATTTTTGTAATGGAAAAAGGAGGTTTATCTGGGTTTTTTAGAAGAATATACAACGATCCAGTTAAATGGCAATTTATTAAAAGTCTTGGATTTTTTGCACTCTCCATTAAAATTGCCAAAGACTGCTGTGGAATGGAATTAATGCAGTAAATACCACAAATGAAATTGGATTGGCTGATATAGAATACTGTTAATGATTTAAAAGTTGTATTTAATATAAATTAGTTTAATGATTTAATATTGTTTTATTTTATTTTCATTTTAAACCCCTTTTTTTTTGTCGGTACTATCGGAATATATGAATAATAATTATAAGTATCAATTAAAATACACGTTAGCTTTATCGCCGTTTTTAAAAATTTTCGTTATATTTGTCATTGGTATATTTAAAAAAATTTAATTAGTGTGTTACCAAGGGAAACTTGTTTGCGAATAAAAAAAAATTTGCATCAAAATTAAAATGAAAATGATGTCTCGAAGATTTATATCTATGATTAGAAGTGGCACTAGGATGCCGTTAGTTTATGCGGGAAAATTATTCTCTCTGCAGTTAACATGTTTGTTAGAAATTTTATTATACCATTAAATAGAAAAGATCTTTTAACTCATTCTAGTAACGATAATTTTTATGTGGAAGAAGAATACGATGTTATAAGTTTGGGTGAAAAATTAGAGTTCGCTAAAACAGCATTAAACGAGGAAGGAATAGATTTTATCATTGAACATTTTTCATGCATGTTCTCATTGCTTCAAAAATTTAAACAATGCTCTCAAAATGTGAAAGACAAAGGATGGAAAATTCTTAAAAAAAGTTTTAATATATTAGTTAAAAGTTTAGAAAATTTATTTGAAGATGTTTCTTGTATAGATTCAGAATTACAGTGGAAAATGTGTAACATTACAAAAATGATAGTTTATACAGTTATAGAATTTATGAAAATTCATCAGGATGAAAATATTAAACAAAGTAATAAAGTTCTTGAAGGAAAGCCTCGTAAAAAGTTGAATAAGGTTATTAATGAAGAATCCGATTGGGCTGAAGAAAAAAGATTGATTTTGATTGAAATGCATTCTTTTTTGTTACTTCCATTAAAATTGTTATGGGAGCCTCCGGTGGTGGATGAAGATTTTGTTAAGTAAGGTTTTTTGCATTATCATTATTTTCTGTTTACTTAATCCGAATTTAATTAAAATTTTTAGTTTAATAGGTAATTTTTGCTACAACTGCTTAGAAGATCCCATGATCAACAGTGTCAATGCCAAGAGTATAAAAGAAACAATTTTTCAAATATTAGGAGTTTTGATCAATAATTATTTACACGGGCTAAGTTTTTGCGTTAAAGTAGTTCAACTATTAAAGACTAATGATCATTTGGTTAATGCACTTTCATACGGAGTTACTTATTTAGTTCAGGAGTGCAACTGCAATTCCATTGTAAAAGAGATTGTAAGAGAAGTTGCAGATACAGATGGAGATCAATTAGCTGTTGATATTTCTGGAACGAGAAATCTTAATTTATTTATAGTTCAGTTGGCAGAATCGGTACCGAAAGCTATTATTCCAGCCATCGATTTGCTTATTACACATTTAAATGGAGACTCGTACAGTATGAGGATATGCGTTGTTGGCGTATTAGGAGAAATCGTATTAAGCATTTTAACAAAAGAAAATCTCGATGACAATTACAAAAAAATGAGAGATGAATACCTTACTTGTCTTGAAGAACACATTCATGATGTGAATGCTTTTGTAAGGACAAAAGTTCTTCAAACATGGCAAAAATTATGCTTGGGGAAAGCTATTCCAGTATCAAGAATCAATAGATTATTAGAATTAGTTATAGGAAGATTAAATGATAAAAGTACAAATGTTAAAAAACAAGCTGTGCATTTAATTAGAGATTTGTTGGAAGGGAATCCTTTTTGTGGTCAAGTAATTGTTTTTTTTTACTAAAATAGTAATTTTTATTTAAAAACCGATTGATGTTTAATTTTATTTAATTAAATTTTATATTTTATTTTTAGCTTAACTGTTTGGAAATTCAAAACCAATTACAACAGGAAAAAAAAAAACTTGAACAAATTACAAACAATTACATTTCCAAAACTGATATTGATAAATGGGAGGAAATAAAAAAGAATTTGCTCGAAATAATTTCTACAATCGATCAAGATAAAGATTCGAGTAGTGTAGACAAAGATTTTGATGAATCAGTTGATGTATTAATTAACTCGATAGGAAATTATTTAATGAGTGGAGAATATGAGAAAGCAATCAAAATGACATTTAATTTGAAAAATGAATTTTGTAAACTTTACGATATCGAGATAGAAAACTGCGTTACGGAATCATTAATTGATATCTTACATAAAATTTACACTCAGAAAAAAACTACAATTTTAACCATTTCGCCTGAAGATCAAGAAAAAATAGAAAAGCACAATGTCGTCATTGAATATTTGGAAAACACGTTGGAATTTTCAAAACTGATTGATCTGGCACTTCCGGTTATTTTAACTTTCTTAGACTCAAATGTTACAACCGACGTACTCGAGGCCATTAATTTTTTTTCATCTGCTTATTTGTTCGGTTTTACAAAAGCTTTAGAAGGGATTAGAAAAATGTTGCATTTAATTTTTTCAAAAGAATCCAACATTAAATCTGCCGTATCGAACGCTTATAAAGATTTATACTTTCAAGCAAACGGAAATGAAAGGTAAAAAAAAAAAAAAAAAAACATTTGTTCATTTAAATATTTATTTACCATTATAATTACAAATCATTAATTATTAAAATTATTATTATTTCAGGCAAAAATCACTCACCACCGTCGAAAATTTAAGTCAACTCGTTTTGAAACTTAATTTTAGTCAATTGGAAGCATTAGAAGAAGTCGTTAAAGAATGGGTTAAAACGGAAATTATCGATAAAAATATTGTTCAAGTTATTTTCGAAAAATTTTCCGCAAAAAATTCAAAATCCGAAAATGAAAGCAAATGTTGGGCCGCATTAGTTTTGATAAGAATGATTGGATCGTGAGTAATTTTTTTTTTTTTTTTTTTTTATTTAATAATTTAAAGTTTTATTTATTCAATTACATTTTTTTATTATAAATTAAAAAAAAAAAAAAAAATTTGCAGGGAGGAGCCGAAAATAATAAAAAACAATCTTTCGATACTTTTAAACGAAGGTTTAAAAAATCGCGGATCAAAAAATTTTTTCATAGCCAAAGAAACATGCAAAGCTTTCCAATTTTTAGTTCCTTCGAAAGAACCTGGAAAAAATTTCGATCACAGCCTAAGGTATCCAAGAGATCACGAAATATTTAAAGTTTTGCATAATCTATTGAGAAAAGGGATTTGGAAAACGGACGACCAATATTTTATTCCCATGGCGGAAGAAGCCATTAATTTAACATTTCGTTGCGTTGAAAATCCGGATAAATTTTCCTGTCGGTTACTGCACGACATGTACAATGATATACTGTCGAAAAAATGGTTGAAATCGAAAAAGTCAAACGACGTAAACATTCTCCATTGTGAAAATTATAATGGTGGGTGTAAAATAAAATAAAATGTATATTTTTCTACATTTAAAAAATTTTTATTTAATTTTAATTTTTTTTTTTTTTTTTTTTTACATAAACGTAGATTTTAATTTGGAAAAGGAAGAATGTAATAATTTTTTAAAAGACGGTGATGATGATGATGATTCAAGTGAAAAAGAAATCAAAGACATAAACGAAATTATAATTATTTTACTGACTCGTTTTATTTCGATATTGGGTCAAGTAGCAGCAAATTATGTGAAATATTTGGAAGGACCCATTTTGGATGAATTAAAGTTAAGAAATCAATCCGAGTATGAAAAGAAGTTGAGGAAAATGGAAGAAAATAAAAAATTTAATATTTCGATTAGAAAAAATAGAATGTTGGGTTGGAACGAGAGCAAAATTGATAATAAAATAATGGTAGCAAAATTTATTTATTAAATTTTTTTTTATATAATTATTATTTTTGCTTCTGTTCATTGTAAAAATATTAACGGAAACAAATTTTTTTTTCAGAACGAGACCAATACGGAAGATTTAGAATTTAATAAAGTAGCCGCAGATGACATGGATATAGACGAAATGAAAAAGAGGACGGAAAATGAAATTGTCAAAGGAGGAGGAGGATTTTTAGCCAAATTCGTTCCCCTCATATTAACAATTTGTAAAAATCCCGGAAAATACAATAACAAACCTCTTCAAAATGCGTCACTCATAACTCTGTCGAAATTCATGCAAGTTTCATCGATTTTCTGCGATGACAATTTACAATTGCTCGTGACGATATGCGAAAAAAGTCAGATAAGAGGAAGGCAGGAAAATGCAATAATCGCTCTGGGTGCATTGCAATACAGGTTTCCGAATAATTTAGAACCTTGGACTCCTCACATGTACGGAATGTTGAAAAATTCAAATCCTTCCGTCAGGTACAATTCGATACTCATATTAACCGACCTCATTGTTAACGAAATGATTAAGGTTCGAAGTCACATTTCAAGTTTGGCCGTTTGCGTTGTCGATGAGGATGTCAAAATTGCAAGTGAGTCGTCATTTTTTTTCTTTTCTTTCTTCGATTGGAACGATTGAAATAAAAAATTTGAAATTTTTTTTTGTATGTTACAGGAGTCGCTCGACATTTTTTTCGAGAATATTCGCAAAAGGGAAATTCTCTTTACAACGTTTTACCGAGTTTAATATCGAATTTAACACAAAGGGAATCCCAAGTATCGCCGGATAAATTTAAAATAATAATGAAATTTATCCTGTCGTTGGTGACGAAGGAAAAACAATTTGAATATTTGGTCGAGAAAATTTGTCAATATTTCGAATCGGCGACGACGGAAAGGCAATGGTGCGATCTCGCTTATTGTTTATCCCTTTTAAGCTACGGAGAAAAAAGTTTTAAAAAAATATACGAAAATGTAAAAAGTTTCGGTGGTAAAATGTATTTGGCAGAAGTTTACGAGGCGTTTTGCACGATCATCGCCGATGCGGGAAAAAATAATCAGAGGGATAAAGGGATCGTGAATGAATTTCAAGAATTGGTGAAAGAGTATCGGGATAAATGTTGCGGTAATAAAATTGGAAATTTAGAAAGCGATAATAGAAAAGCGGCGCCCGTGATGCCGAGCAAGAAAAAAACGAAAAAGAAAAAATATTTACCCTCCGATTCCGAAGAAGAAGAAGAACAAGAGGAGGAAGAAGAAGGAGGAGGAGGAGGTGGTGGTGCGACGATAGAAGACAATGAAGATATAAAATCCGTTACGAAAAATTTAAACAAACGTAAACACGAGGAAACGAATGTAAAAAAAAAAAATTTGATTCGGGATTGTAAAGAAGAGGAAAGTCGGGATTCGGAAGATTTATTCGAAAAAGATGAAAGCGATGAGGATGATTCAGGTAAGTTAAACATTTATTTTCCTTCCCACCCCCTCTTTCTCCATAGATTTTCTCACATAAAATCAATTTTTTTTCTTTTCTTTTCTTTTCAGATGATTTATTTCGAAACGATATAAAAAAAAGAAATAAAAAAATGGTAAACAACAACAACAACAATAATAATAATAAGAGGAAGAGTAAAAGAATTTACGGATTAAAAAATTCATCCGAAGAAGAAGAAGAAGAAGAAAAAGAAGAAAAAGAAGATGGACAGGAGGAGGAGGAGGAGGAGGAAAAAGTAACGAAATCCAAAACGACAAATTATAGGAAAAAAAAACTTCGATCCAGTTGATTTTAAATCAAGGAAAAGGGAGGAATAGATAAGAAGGTACAACAAATTAATAATAAACTTTTTTTTTTTTTTTTTTTTTTTTTTTAACTTTAAAGTTTACACACTAATTTATATTTTCTTATTTTTTTTTTCGAAGGGGGAGACTATTCTTTATTGGCAGGGAAAAAAAAAAAAAAAAAAAGAAGAGGTTTCGATTCAGGGTCGCCAACTGTGAACGGGTGCAAGAAGAAGAGTGTTCTCCTCTATGGAATGAATTCAAATACTCCAACGCGTGTTAGGTAACAACACAGAATATTATACTTATGGTAAATTTACATGGGTGTACGTATATATATATATAGATTTAAATAACAAAACGGCTATGGCCTCGATGATGATCATTAAGATGGAGATTTTGCTATTCCCACGAGGGCTGGCCTGATGACTCTTTCGTGTAATTTATAACCGATTTTCGATACGACTACGATGGTTCCAGCTTCTTTCCCTTCCACCTCCTGCAATGCGAAACGGTAATATCAGTGTTGTTTGATTTTAATGTAAATAATTTGAAATATCTCAGTGTAATACATACTCACCTGTTGAAATAAAGCCTCGTGTAAATTGGGATCGAATTTTTCATTTAACGGATTCACGGGAACCAATCCGTGTCTTCTGAAAACGTTTTGTAATTGAGCTTCCGTCATTGTTAAACCTTCGAATAAATTTTTCAAATGTGGATTTTTATCCGTGATTTCTTCCTTTGGTACGCTTTCAGTCGCTCTCTGAAGTATATCACTAACCTAAAATGGAAAAAAAATATTTTTTTTGAATAATGTGAAAAACTTTACTTTCAAAAATTATTTTCATTGTTGTTGTTGTTATTTTGTATATTTACCTCTAATAAATCTTTACAAAAACTTTGGATTCCAAATAATTTAGCATCTTCTATTTGTTTTGTAAGCCTTAGTCTCAAATTTTCACCTTCAGCAAGTGATCTTTTGTATTTGTCCTGAAAAATAAGAAATGATTGAGGGTTAGTTTCATGTAAAATAAATAATAAATATATCAAATTGGCAACTAAACAATTGCAAATTTTTTTTTTTTGGAAACAAAAAAAAAAGATTTATTATTAATTATGTAGATGGGGGGGGGGGTGGGGCCTGGCTTTTCTCAGAAAATTCCTTTTCGATTGGCTACCTCTGGTTCTTTTTCTTGGATGGCATTATTTAAATTAGTCAATTGTTGAATGTAAACCTCTGAATTTATTGTCTGTGGCAGCAGGTAAAAGTAGACTATGCCTTTGTAATCCCACCAAAATGATAACAGTACCTTTTTTTTGGTTAATGTCAACCTTAGAAGTTGTTGGTGCCTGTTTCCCTTGCCTAAACCAGGATGTTTTCCTCAAAACGTCTTTTTATCTCTGGTAAAGTCTCATTAAAAAAGCAAAGATCAAGTTGTCTTGTTAACTCACACCCCCCAAATTTATGCAACAAGCTTCTTTTGTGCACAAATGTGACACATCTAGCTTCTCTGCAATGCCCCTAGTCAAACTATGCCAATCATAATCAATGAAAGCCTTTATTTAGTCATTATCAACCTCCACTGGACCCCCAAAGTGCTCCTCATCTTTCAAAGAAAAATCTCCAGAACAGAATTTCGCAGACCAGTTTTGACACTGCCGTTCTATTAAGGCTTCATCCCTCTACACAGCCTACAACTTTTTATGGACTTGTAAAGTATAAATACCCTTTCAGAAATTAATAAGCAAAATGTAGAGGAAATGTATGCTTGGGTTACCCAGGTTCAAGTGTCTTTTGCTCAAAAACAATTTAAGAGTTCAATGAAATTTTGATACTCAATATTACAGAAGGAACTGAATAATAGCATCTCAAGAGTTGTTGAAATCCGCAATTACTTAGTTGCCAAATATAATAAATAACCCAATAAATAATAATCGACTTACTTCAAATGTAGCAGCTTTATTCGTTGCTGCTTCTAATTCTTTGTTTAAATTTTCAATATCGGATTTTAATTTTTTTTCAGCTTCAGATAATTTTTCTCCTTCATTTCCTTCAGGAGGTTTATCTTGAACATTTTCAGAAGTTGTTGCTGTAAACTTTTTACCAATCCAGTTAAACTTTCCAAAAGGGGTTTTGTTAAATCTGTAAAGAACAAGTAAACCAATAAAATTATTATCGGAATTTTAAATTAATCGTTATTTGACAAATAACATTAAGTCTTATTCAAAAAACCGTTCGAAAAAATATTTTAAAATTTAAGATAAAGTTATATTGCATCATTATATAATGTATAAGAAAAGCATGGTCAAATATAAAGTGAATTTAGAACCAATTTTTCAATACGACAATTAATTAGTTTTTATTGTTTGAAAATACGTACCTAGAAGAAGATATGTGTCGAAAATTTAATGCACTTTCAGTTAAAAAAAGTAATGACCGAAACCCATTCGTAACACTAACGACAGCCATTTTATTAAAAGCATGAAAAGGAAATGGTTAAAATTATTTCGGAACAATTTAGAAGGCAGTGACGTAAAATAAACGGAAATTGGTTAGTTAATTTTTATACTCTCTTAGAGTTGCTAAAATTCATTCTTTTTACTCCTTATATTTATTTATTAAAAATGAAGTGAAGTAGTTTTATTCTGCATTAAAATTTTCTATTAATTACTATATTGTTTTAATTGATAATAAATTAAAACAATTATGGAAAAATTGATTGTTCACTTGAGGAAAAAATTTATGAATAAATTCTTATGCAAAAGCTTCATTATAAAATTTTCTGATTGAAAATTTAAAAATCTTGACATTAACATTTGTTACATTGAAAATCAAAGAAGTCTGTTAATATTATCGTGTTTTGTTAAATATTTTACTATGTGTTAAGTTTTTTTTGTGCTTTTCTTTTCTTTTTTTTTTTTTTTTTAAATACGTACAGTTTATGCTTTGCGCACAGGATTTACAATGCCATTATAAAGTAATTGAATAAAATTTTGATTCTGAAATATTATATCTGTAAGGCAATATGATTTTTCATACCTTTTAATTATTATTAAAATCTTGTACATGCATTAATTTATTTTGTAGGTGACCATTTTGATGCAGAAATACAATTTTATTACTTTAAATAATAGGTCTTAAAAGACATGAATAGTCATAGTTTTATGTTAGCAGAAAGGCTTATTCCAGCCACTTACCTCCAGCAAGCTGCTGCAGCAAAAAAGTCCAGAGAAAATTTAATAAGACAATTAATAGAGCAGGTATTTAAAAAAAAAAAAAAAAAAAAACTATTAGTTTGTATCTGTAATGTCATTTTATTTTCTATTAATATTTTGAATTGATGAAATACACTTATTAAATATATCATACAATGAACATATTTAAAGTACATCATTAAATATTTATCATTTATTTTACATACTATGAAGATTAAGTTTCTTTATCAGTAGTGTATATTATAAACAAGTTTTATTCAATGCATTATAATATTTTTAGCGAAAATGGCCTGAGGAAGGATGGGATGATACAACAATAGAATTGTTTTTAGCTGATCTTGCTCAAATGGATAGTAATAATTTTCCTGGAAATTGTGGAGTTGGTGAAAGAGAAGCAAGATTTGCTTGTTGTAAGTTTTCATTTGTCAGCATTATTGAATATAATAACAGACAATTGTATTACAAAGAGATATAATTTTGTAATTTTAGCCCTTGTAGCTAAAAGACACTACAGGCTGGGTCATGGGATTGGCAGATCGGGGGATTTAGGAGAAGTTCAGCCGAAAGCAGCAGGTTCAAGCTTGCTCAATAAGCTAACAAACTCTCTAGTTCTAGATGTTATTCGATTTATGGGTAAAAAAAAAATTTAATTTTTTTAAACAAGATAATTTATTTCTATGCTTGTCATCATTTTATTATAATTTGCGATAAATTTGATAGGTGTAAAAACATCTGCAGGATGTTTTGTTGTTCCTGTAGCCACTGGAATGAGTTTAGTTCTTTGCATGATGACTATAAAACAGGAACGACCAGATGCTAAATTTGTTTTATGGTCAAGGATTGATCAAAAATCTAGTTTTAAATGTATTGTAACTGCAGGTAAATTAATAATGTTGTAAAACACTAATTATCCTAACTGAAATTGAAAAAATGTAAATTTAAAAAAATACTTTTAAGGATTGAAACCCATTATAATTGAAACTGCACCATCCGGAGATGAGTTGAGAACGGATTTGGTTACCATGGAACAACAAATGGCGGCATTGGGAGCTGAGCATATAGCTTGTGTTGTTACAACCACAAGCTGTTTTGCACCAAGGGCCAGTGATTCAGTCGATCAAGTAATTTTCTTTTTATAATTTCCCCCCCCCCCTCACCCTAATATTTAAGAATATTTTTCATTGCTTGGTTTTAAATTTTTAGGTAGCCGTTCTTTGCAGTCGATACAACATTCCACATATAATAAATAATGCTTACGGTCTTCAAAGTACAAGATGCATGCATTTAATACAAGAAGCTGCCAGACGAGGGAGAGTCGATGCTTTCGTTCAAAGCACCGATAAAAATTTCCTCGTTCCTGTCGGAGGAGCAATCATTGCTGGATTCGATAAAAGTTTTATTGAAAAAATTTCAAAAATGTATCCAGGTTGGTTTTTTTAATATTTATGAGAATATTTTTTTTAAAAAAATTTTACAACTTTTGCATTTGTCGTTTAGGCCGTGCTTCGTCGAGCCCTGCGATGGATGTTTTTATAACTTTGCTGTCGTTGGGTATAAACGGATACAAAAATCTCATATCTCAAAGAAAGGAAATGTACAATTACTTGAAGGAAGAACTTGGAAAAGTAGCTTCGAAACATGGCGAAAAAATATTAGACACAAAAAATAATCCAATATCAATCGGTAAAAAGATATTTAAGGAATTTTATACTTTTACTGTTTTTTTTTTGTCAAAATAATTACATTAAGGACACATATTGATTTATTTAAATGCAGCAATGACGTTGAATTCCCTCGCTGGTACAGATACAAAAACCATCACCATGTTGGGCTCAATGTTGTTTTTACGAAGCGTTTCCGGTACTAGAGTCATAACCGGAAACGATATCAAAGATGTTGCCGGGTGTAAATTTGAAGGTTTGCAACCTAAACCTAAATTGTGGAATAATTTTTTTTTTTTTTCTCTCTTAAATTTAAATTAAAATTAAAATTTTTTTATAGGATGGGGAGCGCACAATAGTAATTATCCTACACCGTATTTAACCGCAGCAGCAGCTTTAGGTATAAGGAAAAGTGACGTCGATCTTTTCGTTCATCGACTCGATAAAGTTTTAAGCAAGTTGAAAGGTCGAAGTGCGCCCCCGACGCCTACTTCGGTTGAAGAAATATCCGTGGTAAATTAAAAAAAAAAATTTATATTAAAATTATTCGTCATTCCTTTTTAAAATTTTTTGTTTATTTATTTTGTTTTAAGTTTTTATTTATTTATTTTTATTTATTTTATTTTATTTATTTTTTACACCTTAGAATAATAAATGTAACGGTCAAATTAATTGAAGTTAGTTTTCCCACATTGTTTGGATTCTCAATGAAATAAGGGATGTAAACGATTTTTTTTTTTTTATAAAAAAAAGAAAAGAGAAAATTCGTAAAATAATTTGTTGGTAAGTAAGTCGAAGGTTTTACATGATTATTAAAAATTTTGGGCCCCCTTGACTCCATTAATAATGATAGGTTAAGAAAAACTAATCTGAACGCAAAAAGTATGAATAAATTAAATAGTTTTAAGGGGTATCAGAAAATAAAAAAAAATTTTTTTTTTTTTTTTTTCTGTTTCACAACAACACACAATTTCAGGTCAGAAGAGTTATGAGGAGCAGCGGTGGAGGAGGTGGAGGTTCGAGCACGCTCAACGGTGACGGTGGGAGCAACAGCGGGAGCGGAGGAGAACAACAAAGTCAAAGCAGTGCAAAATCGAGTGCTAAAAGCAGCGCGAGTACTTCGTTAGCAAGTAGCAAAGATAGTCTAAGGAAATGATACAGGCAGCAAAATGATACCGAAAAGAAAAAATAGTTACCACCAACCATCACCATCCCAATATCGTGTGGAAATTCGGTATCATTTTGTTACAAGAAAATAAAAAATGAAATTTAGAACGAAAAGAAAAAAAAAAAAAAATTATGCAAAATACGGTAAAAAAAAAAAAAAAAAAGAAAACTGCCTTGAAATGATTTCACTGCATAAATAAATAAATAAAAAAACTATGAAATTTTTGCCCTCCTTTATATATATATTAAGTTTTTACTTAAAAACGAAACACATATAAAACACAAAGCGTCCGTATATAATAAATAAATAAATAAATAAATAACTTTAAGTAGTTGAAAAAAAAAAAAAAGAGAGTAAATAAGTAGGAAAAAAAAAAAAAAAAAAGTTTATTATTATTATTATCAATAGCTTTTATTAAATCGTCGAATATTCTCTCACCCGTGAAACTTTATTCAAACTGTTTTCATTTTTTTTCCAATGGAATTAAAATTAATTAAATAAAATAATAAATAAAAGAAAAAAAAAAGACGATGACGTCGACGTGTATTTATTTCTAGTGAAAATAATAATAATAATAATAATAATACTATTGCTACCGCTAGAAAAAAAAATTGTGACAATTAAAAACAATGAAATAATTAATTAATTAATTAATTAATAATGACAATATTTAATTAAACGGTCTAAATCGGTATAAATAAATAAATAAATTTATTTATAAAAATATCAAATCTTTGTTTGTCACATTTAATTGGAATTTAATTTAAAAAATTAGCCTAATTAAATTTAAGAAAATTTTTATCGATGAATTTATATATATATATATATATAATTAAAAAAAAACATTTTTTTTCCGAGATGATGATGATGATAGGAGCCATTAATTAAAAAAAAATAGTTGAAAATTTATTATTAATATTATTATTATTATTATTATTATTATTATTACTTTCTTTTTTATTATTATTATTATTTATTTTTACTATTTATGTATTATTAAAATTATTTATTTATTTATTTAAAAAAAAAAAAAAACAAAACCTGTTATCATTCTTTATTATTATTATTATTATTATTTAAATTTAAAAAATTAAATGATAATAATAAAATGCTGTGTAAATAATAAAACGCGTCGTACCTGGTTTTATCAAATTTACATTAATTATGGATATTTTATTATATATATATATATATATATATATATATATTGTTAGTACGTCAATTTATTAATTATATTGCTTTATTTAAAAAAATTAATGAGAAAAAAATAATAATTTTTTTTAGTATTAATTATTAATTAAAATAATTTATTGAAATTCTTTTAATGATGATGATGATGATGATAATAATATTATTATTATTATTATTATTATTATTATTATTATTTAGTTTGTAACGACAGGAAAAATTAAAAAAGAAAAAAATAATAATAATAATTTTTCCTCCCCCCCCCCTCTAAAACTTGATCAAATTTAGAAAACGTTATCATTATCATTATTATTATTATTAGTTATTGTTTATTATTATTATTATTATTATTATTAAATTTGCATGTAAATACTTACAAATAACGAATGCGATTGTTAATTTTTTTTTTTTTTTAAGAACGTCTGGAGCATCACAAAAATTTATAAAAAAAACCAAAGACACACATCATTTTGTTACCATTTTATTTATTTATTTATTTATTTATTAAATAATTTTTTTAACTTGTTATGTTTTGTTATTGTTTTTAAATGTATTCGTACCGGAAATATTATTATTATTATTATTATTATTATTTATTTTATTTAAAAAAAATAAAATAAGTAAATAAATCGTTCGGATCGAAACGAAAAATGAATGAAAAAAGAAAAAAATTAGTTTAAAAATTTGTTCTTGAATTATTATTATCATTATTATTATTATTATTATTTTTTTTTTTTATTATTATTTAATAATTAAAATCAATAGTTTAATATATATATATATATATAAAATTTTTTTTTAAACGTCTTTTCGTTGATATTATCCTGGAATTTAAAATTTTCCAGTTGAGATTTTTATTTTTTTGTTTATGTACATAGGTTGAAGACAGAGAGAGAGAGAGAGAGAGACATAGAGAGAAATAAAGCAAATAAATAAATAACTTATGAATGAAAATTGATTTTAATTGATTTTTCTTAAATCTAATGCTATCATTTACGTTCTTTTATGATGTTATGGTCGTTTTTTTATTTTATTTTTGTTTTTTATAATGTCTAACGCTCTGTTTTTCTTCTCTTTTTTTTTTTAAAACAAAATATTCATTTGTTTTTGTTTTTGTATTAATAATCCCGGATAAAAACTTAACGGTCGTCGTCAAACGTTTTTAAACTCAACAATTACTTAATTAGTAATTTTAAAAAATTCAAAAATTTGTAAAAAAAAATATTCAATGTAAAAAAAAAAAAAAAAACAAATTTTGAACTATTTTTTTTAATTTGTGACTCTCTCTCGTCAAAATTTAGTCATATCTGGAACTTTTTTTTTTTTATAAAAAAAATCAAATTTTGTTTTGAACTCGTTTTTTTTTTTCTTTTTTTCTTTTCAGGTTGTTTACAACAAACGAAAAACGAAAAATTCACGTCACGTTTTTAGGTCCGTCAAAAATTTTTTTTAAACAGGAATTTGAATGAATAAATGATAGAAAACAGAAATTTTCTTTTAATTACGAATAAACAAAATCGGTAAGTATAAAAAAAAGAAAAATTTTCACGTTTAATTTATAACCATTAAAACCAAAATCAAAAATTAACATTTAATCACCCTCTCCGCCCCTCCTGCAATTTAACGATTATGCAATTTGTTCGACTTACAAGTACTACTAAAACCATATCTTTACATTATATAAATGTTAGTAATAATAATAATTTTCCCGAAAAACGATAATTAATAATGGGGAGGGGGGAGAGGAAGGGGGAAAAACTATTCGTACGCCATTTTTATTTATACTTACTTATTTATTTTTAATTTGAAAGCAAATATTTCGTCATTTTATACGATTATAAACGCCGACCATTCATTTCTTTTTTTATAAAACGAACAACAAAAACGTTATTTATTTTTCTTTTTAGCATTAATAAGAAATTATTTGAAACAAATTTTTTTCCCTCCTTCTCCTCTCCTCCCCCTCCCCATTATTTAAAGATCAAAAAATTTATCATCATCAATAAACAAACAAATTAAATTTAAAAAAAAAAATTAACTTTAATTTAAAAAAAAAAAAAACTTTTAAAAGTCTTAATGTCAACGTCCTTCTTTTCAATTAAAGCTTTAACTGTCTAATTCACAGATTTATTCTCAAACATATAACTGATCAAAATGTTTCTCTTTTCAAAGTTTAACGTTCGACTAATCATAATAATAATAATAATAATAAATAAGTAAATAAAAAAACAATAATTTTATTTATAAAAAAAAAAAAAAAAATTAAACGATGACGCACATTTAGACAAAAAAAAAAAAAAAAAAAAGGATCGAGGGTGAATCCCGTATTATTATTATTATTATTATTATTATTAATAAACTTCGACAATTAAACTTTTTTTTTTTTTTTTATAAACTCAATAATTAAAAAATTTTTTTATATAAATGGATTCACTTGATCGTTAACGTCACGACAAAATGTTTTTAATAATACTAATAAACAGTTCATGATGATGATGATGATGATGATGATGATGATGATTTATGGATTTGAATTTATTTTCGCGCCAAAAAAAAAAAAAAGAAAAATTTTGACGACGTTTAAATCAACTTTAAAAACAAAAAGGTTGTCGTTGTCGTTGTTGTTGGTGCGGGGGTGGTGGTGGTGGTGTTGGTGCCATTTAAAACAATTTCACTATCAAAACAATTAATAATTTCACGACCATTTCCGCATAATAATAATAATAATAATAATAAAAACGTTTGTCACACTTTTTCTGTCTTCCATGCATTACCACCACTTCCACATTATGTGGATTTTTTTTCTCCTTCTCCTTCTCCTCATTCGAATAACCTTTTTTTTTTTTTTGAATGACAATATTTTCACATGATGAACGCGTATAACAAATAATTTAAGTATAGAAACAAACGACTAAATACAATAATATTAATAATAATAAAATAATAAAGAAATCAGTAATGAAAATCACGTCTTTTGGCACATACTCTAGTTCTAACGGATTTTTATTTTATTTCAAATTTTATTTTAAATTTTCATTTTTATTTTTATTTATCATATCATATGTTGTTGTGCGTTAAAGATATGTGACAAGTGAAATACAAACAAACAAACAAACAAACAAACAAACAAACACAACAAACAAACACAAAACAATTTTTTAACTTCTTCAGCAATGTTTTTTTCACGTAAGTTTTTATTTTATTTTATTTTATTTATCATTATTATTACTATTATTACTATAAGTGATCGGTAAGTGAGATTGAAACGAGAGAAAATTA